AGGCTCTGTCTCAAAAAAAAAAAAAAAAAATGAACTTAAATTGAATTGAGGGAATGGACTCTAGTATTTATTTATTTATTTATTTTTGGAGTGATTCTTTTTTTTATTTTTATTAAATCGTAAGTATACATTAATACTATCATGGGGTACAGTGTACTGCTTCTGTATACAATTTGAAGTACTTTCATATAGCTGGTTAACATAGCCTTCATGTCTTTTTCTTAGTTATTGTGTTAAGACATTTATATTCTACATTTAGAGAGAGTCACATGTCCCCTTGTAGGATGAACCACAGGTGTGATCCTGCCAATCACCCTCCCTCTACCCACCCGACTCTAGTATTTATGTTAAAGAATGTATTATCGTAAAAAAGCATATAAAACATGCTGTGGGGCTCAGAAGAGAGAGAGTTTATACTTGTTTGTTGGGTAAGATGGAAAAAAGGTGGGTAATGGGTTTTAAGGCAAAGACTAAAATACAACTTTATAATTACAAGAGACATTAGAGATGAATATGGTAATCTCTATGGTAGCTTTAAAACTTGAATGTAGGTGGACCCCTCAAACAAAATCATGAGGAAGTTCAAGATGTAAAACAGAAGAACTTAACTTTGGTTGTGTGTGGGATGTCCACACCTAGTGCAGTTCAAAATTGCCCTGCTTATATTACTCTTTTTTTTGTAAGGACAGAGTTTCACTCTGTTGTCCAGGTTAGAGTACAGTGGTGTCATCATAGCTCACTGCAACCTCAAACTGCTGGGCTCAATTGATCTTCCTGCCTCAGTCTCCAGAGTAGCTGAGACTATAGGTTCATGCCACTAATTAGCTGTATGCCTAGCTAATTTTTCTATTTTTAGTAGAGACAGGATCTCAGTCTTACTCAAGGTGGTCTCAAGCTCCTACTCTCAAGTGATCCTACTGCCTTAGCTAGAGTGCTAGGATTACAAACATGAGCCACAGAACTCGGCTCACATTACTCTTAGATTATTTCCTTTACTGAGAAAAATCAAAGCCATTTCACATGCTCGTCACCTCAAAATTTCTGTATCCTTATTGCCTAAAGCAAATAAATATCCCTTTGTCGAGAGTAATATCTGTAACACTTAAATAATTTTCTTCACACAGCCAGCAGTGGTGGTGTTAGATTTGAACTCAGGAAGACTGATTCTAGAGCCTGTTTTCCTTGCCACCATACCAGGTGCAGAAGATCTAGGTTACAGATGATGATGATTAGTTCTTGTACTAATAAGATTCCATTTAGCCTTGTTTCTTCAGCTGTGAAATTCATATAACAAGATCTGCCTCACAGGATGGTTATGACATTAAATAAGCTAAAAATTCAGAAATTATGAAGTACTATCCACTTGTAAGATATTATATCATCTATTGTTGAAATAGCAACTAATACACATAGCATTTATTTACATTTAATAAATCATGAAACCGAAGCTAGAGAGGTTAAGTAATTGACCTCTCTCTCTCTGTAGTTATTAAGTGGTAGAGTCTGGATCTCAGCTCAGTTCTTTTGATGACAGTCCTGTATACTTACGGCCTATGGTTGTTACCTTATGTCTCAATGATCCTGTGTTTCTTTATTGTAACTGCTTTTTTCTCCTGCCCCTTAAATGCATTTATTTCTTAGATTTTGCTGCTGGGATTCTCTACTTTGAGGTTTCTGGGAATATTCATCTACTTTGGGAAATTTGATATACTTTCGCAGCTTTACTGTCATCTCTGTGTATGGTCCTCAGTCTATTCCTTCAGCATTGACTTTTGGATGTTTTATCTGGTTGAACTTGTTCAAGATCAAATTAATCATATTCACAAACTGACTTTTTTCTGCTTTCTAACATTGAACTTCTCTTTCCGTTCTGCTCATCATTTACACTAGAAACCTTACACCAGTGATTTTTTTAGTTCTGTCAGTTATTCTCTTCTAGGGTCACTTATTTCTGTCCATTATCTTTCTATTTCTATTAATACCATTCTGATGAGAGTTATGGACACTTTTTACCTCATGTTTATATTCTAACTGATTTCTCTGCTTTAGTCTTTTTTTTTTTTTTTAAGAGTCTCACTTTGTTGCCCTCAGTAGAGTGCTGTGGCGTCACAGCTCACAGCAAACTCTAACTTTTGGGCTTAAGCATTTCTCTTGCCTCAGTCTCCCAAGTAGATGGGAGTACAGGTGCCCATCACAACGCCCGGCTATTTTTAGAGATGGGGTCTTGCTCTGGCTCAGGCTGGTCTTGAACTTCTGAGCTCAAGCAATCCACCCACCTCAGCCTCCGAAGTGTTGGGATTACAGGCATGAGACACCACACCCAGACTGGTTTAGTCTTTTTTTAATCTCCAGTCCATTTAGTGTCTTGCTGCTATATTAATGTTTTCCATTAGTACCATTTTTCCCTCACTAGAAACCTCAGAGAATGATTGCCTAAAGTATAAAGCCCCAGAATATTAGCCTTGTTGGGTGCTGTGCACCATGCCTACAATCCCAGTTACTTGAAGGCTGAAATGGGAGGATTGAGCCTAGGAATTTGAGGCGATAGTGATTTATGATCATGCCACTGCACTCACTGTCTGGACACTGACAGAACAAGACCTCATCTTTCTTTTTTTTTTTTTTTTTTTAAAAATTAATATTGCCTTTGGACCATCTGCATCTGGTTTTAACCTTTCTAGGGCTGTCTTGGTTCCCGAATGTACTGTTTATTGATTTGTTCACTGAACAAATATAATTGCTTGCCTACTTGGTGTTGTAGAGATGAGGATTTGCTGTGTTGTGTAGGCGGATCTTTTTTTTGAGACTGTCTCACTATGTCACCCTTGGTAGAGTGCTGTAGTGTCACTGCTCACAGCAACCTCAAACTCTTGGGCTTAAGCGATTCTCTTGCCTCATCCTCCCTAGTAGCTGGGATTATAGGCACCCGCCACAATGCCCAGCTGTTTTTTTGTTGCAGTTGTCGTCGTTTAGCAGGCCCAGGCTGGGTTTGAACCCTCCAGCCCCAGTGTATGTGGCTAGAGCCCTAACCATTGAGCTATGGGTGCCAAGCCATTTAGGCTGATCTTAAGTTTCTGTCCCCAAGTAATCTTCCTATCCTACCCTCCCCAAGTGCTGGGATTACAAATGTAAGCCTCTGTGCCCAGCCTAAATACTTAGATTTTTAGCTAATTTCTAATGCATAGTTAGATATTAGAAATAGTATTTAATCAATAATGAAATCTATGTTATCATAAGATTTTTCAGCGGTGGTTGTAATTGTTTTGTTTTATTTTGAAATAGTTTCACTCTCTTGCCCTGACTAGAATGCAGTGGTGTTACCATAACTGATTGCAACCTCAAACTCTTGGATTTAAGTGATCCATCAGTCTTCTCTTAGCTGGGAAGAGACTCAGCTATTCTCACCATAACTGATTGCAACCTCAAAGTCTTGGATTTAAGTGATCCATCAGTCTTCTCTTAGCTGGGTCCATAGACTCAGCTATTTTCTTCTATTTTTAGTAGAATTGAGGTCTTGCCCTTTTTTTTTAAGAGCCAGAGTCTTATCTTTGTCGCTTTGGTAGAATGCTGTAGCGTCACAGCTCACAGCTCACAGCAATCTCTAGCTCTTGGGCTTAGGCGATTCTCTTGCCTCAGCCTCCTGAGTAGCTGGGACTACAGGTGCCCACCACAATGCCCAGCTATTTTTTTTTTTTTTTTTTTTTTTTTTGGTTGTAGTTGTCATTGTTGTTTGCCAAGTCCAGGCTAGATTTGAACTCTCCAGCTCCAGTGTACCTGGCTGGCGCCCTAGCCACTGAGCTATAGGCACTGTGCTGCAGTAAACATTCCTTTATCTTTCCTTCTCAAAATATTTAGCACTAATTACTTCACCTGTTATGAACTATTTTCTTCTTTGATATAATCATCTGTTGGTTTTCCTTCTTTCTGTTTTCTGATCTCTAAATGGGTCATAAAGTATAAAGGCTCAAGAAGTATAAAGCTGAGACGAGTTCTGGAGGGGAGCTGTGACTTTAAGAGAACAAGAATGTGATCATAGCATTGTTTCAGTGGAAAAAACCTGACTGAAGTCTTAGGCTTTATATTGGACCAGAGAAATTATAATGTTCAAAATTATTAAGAATGGAGGAATCTTCTTCCTTATGCTTTTTTTTCCTTCCAGTTTTGTTTTCTTTGCTGTGAAGTAATTGTTTATTATCACTTTAAGTCTTTATTGTCCTTTAAGATATCCTGGGGAATTTTATTTCTGAGTTAATTATTTGGCTTCAGGTAAAAGCTCTTCTTCTTTTTTTTTTTTTTTGAGACAGAGCCTCAAGCTGTCCCCCTGGGTAGAGTGCCGTGGCATTACAGCTCACAGCAACCTCCAACTCCCTCAGGCTGGTCTTGAACTTCTGAGCTCAAGCAATCCACCCACCTCAGCCTCCGAAGTGTTGGGATTACAGGCATGAGACACCACACCCAGACTGGTTTAGTCTTTTTTTAATCTCCAGTCCATTTAGTGTCTTGCTGCTATATTAATGTTTTCCATTAGTACCATTTTTCCCTCACTAGAAACCTCAGAGAATGATTGCCTAAAGTATAAAGCCCCAGAATATTAGCCTTGTTGGGTGCTGTGCACCATGCCTACAATCCCAGTTACTTGAAGGCTGAAATGGGAGGATTGAGCCTAGGAATTTGAGGCGATAGTGATTTATGATCATGCCACTGCACTCACTGTCTGGACACTGACAGAACAAGACCTCATCTTTCTTTTTTTTTTTTTTTTTTT